AAACATTTTGGTCACTAGTGGAGACCTTCATTGGTTCACTGACATACAAGATAAAAAGCATGGGTTGAACACATTTACTCATGACACTACTACATACTTCTGTGCGTCAAGAAACTTTTGAGTTAATCCTTACTTTCTGTCTGGTGTAGCTTGGAATCCATCTGAGGAGACTTCGCTCCACTTAGCTCCAGAAACCCTTATGTTAGAAATCAGCTGCTGCTGGTGCCAGAAGACAAATATCTGAATCTCAGAGTCATTTATGTAATACAGGCAATACCAGAAAGCATGCATATAATTCGGGAATTTGATAGTCGAAAATAAACTGGTACAACAAGGTTACTGACACGCATAATCGTGTTGTGAGCAGTGTACCGCCGTATAAAATATATACCGAATCTGGATATAATACACATCAATAATTCTGGTGGTGTCGCCATCGTCTTCAATTGACCAGTAGTCGAATGAGCCACGACAAAAATCTTGAATCCAGCTCACAGGAGACGGACTCGGATGAATGGAGCTATGACAGAGCACTTAAGCGTTTCCTAAAACTGAAATGGGGTACTATAAAACCTTCCTTAACTTTATTTCAGAACCGAAGCGTCCTCTAACGGCTGATAGAGGACGCCGAATTCTTCTCTACTTATCGACATTATTTCACATTACATCTTACATGGTTGTTGTCTTCTTGTCTTTAGTTTGTGTCGTGATTAGATTTTTGCCACAAATTAAAGACAAAGGTGACAACAACCATGTGTTTCTGTGGCACGGTGTTTAGGACTCTCGCTGACCACGCACATGGTCTGGGGTTCGATCCCCTGCCGACGCACACCCGATATCTGTGGTCGGCCTGCATAATTTGGGCTACCGATATCCATGCTGAGAATTCCAAACTTGCACTGAAAATACAGTATGGCATCAAGTTGTCATCAAAATAAATGAATAAGTCAAAATGATGTAATTTAAGTAATGGTTATCCATGCCTATAGATCTGGTGTGTCCAACATAGGTAGGAATAAACATGTGCTGTATTATATTATAATTACTAAATATGCTTACTAGTCGTGTATGTAATCTATCATATCGGTGATACGTGTAAACTGGCGTCCCTCATGTACGAAAAATGTGAATATATTATTATTATACAATGACTGCAAATAATGGAACATTGTAGACAAAATCTCATTCGGTCATTTAGAAGATAAAAAGAATCAATATGATTCTTTTCTACAAATCCCACGTCTGGCCTCAAGATTATACTATAAATAGCATTTAAAGAGCTGTTGACTCTTACGACACTGGTGTTTCTTTAGAAACTAAAGAAACTATTGAACCTATAAGACCGAAAAATAAAAGTACAAAGGTAAGTCTAAGTGATGACCAAAGTTAAGATTAGGGTCAATTATCAGATAAAAGTTTCGTGTAATTGTCCAACCAGTGTGCAAATCGGGAAATAAAATATCACATCGAAATGATATGCACACAAGTGATAACAACTCACCTTTATTTATGCAGCGGTTTTATTTATAAGTAGGTGAATGCTTGTATAAAGTGTGTATTCACCGACGCTAACAAGAAGCACAAAGTCAGCGAACTATATATTCATTACTGGTTTACAGGAAATAACACACAAACCAATGGCTGCGGTCCTGGATCTGACATCTGCTAGGGTCGACAAATACACAATTACAGGTCTGTCGGGCGTCAGTTAGTCTATCTGCTTTGACGACTCCGTGCTCGCTTCCGGTTGGTTTCAGCTAGAAATAACAATGCCTGCTGACTCTTCAGCCTTGCCTACCTAACCTGATGGTCATGCTGCTCCTGACATGAACTCAACAACAGAGGGGAGAATATGATATTCACGTCTGTCCGAGAATTTGCTTCTGAACGATTTTTAGAAAAGATTACACAGATATACGGTCACACCAAAATGAACAGCTTCGCTGTTGTTCCCAAAAAATCCAGTTGCCCTCATTCCGATCTAGTTAGCAAAGATGAAAAAATTTACCGCTGATCAGCTGAGATTCAGTTAAATGGACGAATTTCTTTGATCCCCTAAATATGTATTAAACTTAACAACAAATGTGTGGAGTAGTTCACATCCATTTGGCCTTCGAGAAGTCTTAAATTTTATTGTTCTGGGAAAATATATACCGCATCTTATTTCACTCAGTCACTGTAATCAGATGGCAACCATACCTCTGTAACTAGCAGTAAAGAAGCCATAAACAGTGAGAGTAGAGAGTTAATTTACGGGGATTTATTGTAGACAGAACGAGTATTTACAAGAAGATTGTAAGTTTTCGGACCAACCATGAGAGTTGAGGCGTGGGGGAGATGATAAAGTGATTCAAACGCGGTCGAAAACAAATCAGAATGGGGAATGCCGGGCTAGTCTCGCACTGCAGATGAGGAACCTTGATTGACTTCGTTGAATTTGTATGACATGCTGCTGGAAGGTCATTCAGTTCATATGCGCGGAGAAACACATGTGAATACTCTTGTTTCTTCGGTGTCTGGACAAGATAAATCGGACATTGGGGAAAAATGTTAGGTGACATCAGGTAGATGATTGGCATTATTACTGGATCTGGATGTGTGAAAAAAGTGGTGGGCAGATCGAATAATAGGCATGTTATGAAAACAGTTATTGGGTGTAGGGAATGTATTTTCAGCGTATTGCAATCAATCAACCAGAGTATACTGATACTCCAAGAAGTACAGAAAACGTGGTGCACATTTGTGATATGTTTATTGTGATAGTAGGAATAATAACGCCACACACTACAAGCTGTATAACGGCAAACTACTGCCAATAGGGATATGAGTAAGGAGAGAAATGGGCTGCGTTTATCACATTAATTTGACGATGACTAAATGCTAGAGCACCACAGAACGACGAACGAGATATTTCAGGGAGTATTAGAAACTATTCAAGACCTGGGAATTGTGTCCACTTTAACAACGCCACAGCGGGATGTGACAACAGTAAGCTGCCTCATTCTTAATGATCAGTTTTCAATCATGGAGGGCAAGGCATGTACAAAATTCATGTTAGAATTGAGGATAATTATGTTGTCGGTAGAAATAAGCCCTGATGTTATTTGAACGTAACTCGAGAGACTTTTCTACTGAATGCCTCAGCCGAACCTCTTTGTTTTCTGAAGACCACCGACATTTAGCCTTCAGTTATTAGAAAATAAGATATTATCCACGAGTACAGAGGTAATTTCATTACTTTAAAGCGTCCAACCGGAAATTCGTTAAAATGCACCTGATATCAGCGCGGACTTTGAAACTTCGTATTTTCTGTAGGTATTTTTTGGTTCTCCGGTGATTTTTTCATTTTTATTTCTAAGTTTCCTTTACATTTCACTTATATCAAATTCTCGGTCTGTTTAAAAATCAATGCTACAACACTCCTAGCAGGCAGCTTTTTCCTCACAAAATACAACTCATGAAGTTGGACCCTTGCTATACACGCAGGTTACTGGAAATGCCTTAGGGAACCCCTGATAGAAAGGAGGCAAAGGTTTAGATCAAACTCCAACCTCTTCTCCTGGGAAACTGCCTAGCGGACTGCTATAGGGCATGGTATTCGGACTTCTCAAAATTATGAATATCAGTGTGTTATTTTCGCCCACCGACTCCCCCATGTTCCTATACGCAGATGACTTAAACATTTTGAGAGGGCTGAAGGGCAACAGTGATGAGCTCACGTTGCAGGAGGACCTCAACGAATTGTTAGAGTGGTCCAGAGAATGGATGCTCCCGATCAATGTAGCGATATGTGCAACCATGCGCATTGGACACGCAAGCATCAGCTCCTACGAACAACTAGAGGGAATAAAACTCCCATCAGTTCAGACTCACTTGTATTTAGGTGTCATAGTAAGTCAAGACGTAAGAACTACAGCACTGTCGCGCGGTGGCTGCACGTAGTTACAGGTCATTATGGGCAATTCGTAGAGCCTTCACTAGAATCACCAGAGATATGTTCACCTCCTCATATACATCTCTGGTGAGGTCAAGACTGGAAAACTGCATCCAGGCCGCCAACCCTTGTCTAAAAGGGGACTCACACATTCTAGAAAGAGTTCAAAGGAACGCAACACGTATGATTCCTGGCATGACTGATTTATCGTAGGAGGAAAGACTAGACAGTTTAAATCTCTTTCCTGTCATACCATAGGCAGAGAGGAGATTTAATTACAACACTTAGAATTTTAAATAATGACTACAGACCAGATCTATTCTGTCTTTTCCTTCTCACCAGGTCGGATCAACTTAGAGGACATAGCAGGAGAGTCCAAAAGCCAAGTAAAAACTATATTGGTGTGGAGTACTGGTTCTCACACCGAGTTATAAACTCTTGGAACCGACTCTGAGAAGAATTTGTGTCTGCAAACTCAACTGACTCATTCAAAAAGGGTATGGGGAAGGATAGAAATTTACTAGCAAATGAATAACGTAGGCTCCAAGCCTTCTATCTTCAACCAGTAAATCTGCAGTTGCATGCATACATGCCATATCCATTTAAAGACTTTCGAGGTATGCACAGTGGAACTATAGGCTTTGACTGGTTCCGCTGTGTATTCTATGGAGTTAGAGAACGCTATAGCTGAACTTTACCTGTACAGGGGTAGATTGTTCTGCCAACCGATACTGATAGTCACATGGAACCATAATTATTGCTACCGAAACATTATATTTCGCCTGTGCATCTATAATTAAATTACTGCTGAGTACTGAGAAAAGCAGTAGTATGTGCGCGCCATTGTCATTCCCAGTAAGTCGTTCGTAAGTAGCTGAGCAACGCACAGGGATTTTTTTTCGATTTGAGATGTTGCGTGCTAAGTAACTTCGTTTCCTATGTAATGTGCACTGTTTTCTGTTTCGAATTATTTCGTGATACTTTTAATCTTACAGGCTATAGTCAAGATATTTGAAGACAAACTCCTCGGCATCATATAGAAGAGTAATTCGCCTGACAACTATTGATGGCGGACTCATTTTATCTTCGTTATTACGTCGGACATAAAGGAAAGTTTGGGCACGAGTTCTTGGAATTTGAATTCAGACCTGAAGGTTAGACGAACCCATCCCTAACATACTTTGCTTCTTTAGGAAAATTGAGGTACGCGAATAACTCCAATTACAAGAATGACACAATGATACGGAAAGAAGTAGGTCTATTGCATATATTTCACTACAAGTCAGGCATATGTAAGTAAATCAGTGATGGAAGAGCTGAAAAGAATTGTGCTGGAGAGTGATATAATGACAGAGGATGATGCAGCGTGGCCTGTTCCAGATAGAGTTGGTCGTCAGGAGCTCGAGATTGTGTGTGGAGACGAACACATCTCATTTACAACTTCTAAAATAGGATCCTTAATTGACATTACCAACAGCAAGTAAGTTCATTTAAATTGACATATATCGTTTTAGAGATCCAGATGGTTTAAGGACATATTACTACCTCGTTCAAGATCTCAAATGTTTGGTGTTTTCATTGATTGGGCTGCATTTCAAAATAAAACCTATCTAAATTTTCAAAAATCACTTTTACTTCTTTGTTAAGAAATAAAACGAAAATCTATGTGAGCTGTATGCCAAACGATACAGTCAAGGATTGAAATCCCAAAGCAACCGTTGCATATATACAAGGTGTATGATTGTAATTAAAGCTCAACCCGACTAGTTTCAAGATAGAAATTAGCAAACAAATGAAACAGTTTGAGTTGTCGCACAATATAGCAAACGGAGTAAAACAGCGCGAAAGCGAAGGCTTTTTCAGCGTCCATTATGCACCAGTACAGTGACTTCGTCTCTCACAAAACTCCACATATCAGTAACCATTACCCTGAGAAACAGACTGACACTTACACCGCAATCCACACAAACATCTCGTCTAGCAAGAGATTAGCTTATAAGACACTAGAGAGTAACGCCTATAATCGTGAGGCTATCGGACTGAAGGTGGATTTCACTGACGTACTGCTACACTAGCTACATTCCTGGCTTGTCTCCATCTAAATCATGATTATATTGGATATTTGATTTCAGTCTTCATCCTCGCTTTTCGCTGGTGATGTCTGTTTTATGCATGACGCTTGTTAGTTATGCTGATGATAGGAGATGTGGGGAGTTGTAGGTGTCTGGAGAATAATAGTATACGAAAAATTTGGGGCCGCGGGGGGGGTAATTATTTCCAGTTGGAAGTTGTGTGAGAGCGTAATAAAATTGTAGGGTAGCGGAGGTGAGAGACTGTTCTGGGTTTAAATTTGTCTTGAGTATGGTTGGTTGAATTTTCAGTCTGTGTAATGTATGAATTGTCTTTCGATCTGGAGGTATAACTTAATTTTTAGTGTGTACACGTGGAGTATGCCCTAAACTACGCTAGATATTCTTCACATTGAAATGTTTGCCATTTTGAATTTCGAGGTGTTGCATATATAATCTTGTGTTGATGAATAACGTACGTATATATGCATCTTAACTACAAGATTCCAAACAGCATTGGGTACAGTACTGATGTCTTTTTCGATTGTACGTATATATGCATACATATAGATATGTATATAAATAAATATGTAAGCATAAACTCGACTTGACAGTACGGCCGTGTGCAATAAACAGTAGAATGTGATGATGACGGTTTTACAGAGTGATGATGAATGATGGGGATGGATGAAAGCAAGGCATCGAGGTCATATCGTGTATTAGTCAAGTTTGAATCTATTGTAAAGACGTCAATCAACTGAGATAAATGTATTCTGTACATTTTAGATTGTAGATTAATAATAATGATAATGCAGTTAGTTGATAGGAAGACTATTATTATTATTATTGATATTATAAGAGTTGCTCTTCAACAGGGGAAATGAGTGGGGAGGTTTTGTGCTCAATCTTGATCTAGTGAAATATCTTCGGATGCTTCAGATGCTCCTTCTTCTGTCTTCTGAAATATAAAAGCAAGAAGTTAATTTTAATGCTTTGGAATGATGGAAGTGAGAGGCAGATTAATTTTTTCCTTAGGTGTTAATATGTGTACAGTGAGTAGTCTGACACTGTAGGTATGTGAGAATAGCTAAGGTGATGACTGATTGACTTATTGCTATGGATCTATTTGTGATCTCTTCTTATTGCTTATCTCTAAGGATTATCCCTTATATATCGGTTTCAATTTTTCGTCTTGGTTATCTGCATTTCTCTTAGAATATTAGCTGGTTATATTCAGTGCATATCTCTGTCAACATAGGCGGTGAATACTATCAATCTCATCAACTGACTTATATTCATTACTTGTCCGCTTTTGCCATAAGTCATTATGACCGATGGAAATCGCTGCACTTAAAACGTGACTTTGTGAACCGTGGTACTTATTACCAGGATCCTTCAATCTTTTCATTTTTCACTGCCTTGTCTCCCTTCCGCACAATAGACACTTTTCTGTTGATGGATAGCATTATATTGTTTGTGTGTCTTTTAAGAATAAACCAGTCAGCAGAGAGCCAGTGTATCTTTTTCGTCCGTGTTTGGGATTCTATTATGGGTAAATTTTGTTTTGATAAAGTCTCACAGTGTTATACAGTTATGTTCACTGATGACGTTTCGAGCACAATTTATTGCTCATAACCATATCAAGGTGTTTGGGATTGTTAAGGTGTCATTGTGACTAAGAGTCTCCTTTCTATTCCTTATGTTGAAACCTCTATCTACATTTTATCTGTTATCCGTTTCAAATTGCTGACACATTGAGCTGCAATCTGCGAATGTTTGGCATGCGATTCCCCCCTGCTGTCAAATGTAATATGATGAGGCTACAGGACTGAACTGGACTACATTGACTCCTAGCTTAAAGACAGGCAGGAGTGAAGTGGTAGAGCGTGTTGACCACTTGACTTATTTGGTGAAGTTTCATCAACCAACGCCAGCAGGTTGATCGCTGACGAAATCCCAGCACGGATACAGAAGGCCAGTCTCGCATATGCCAGTTTACTCTGTCTCTGGCTAAGTAGACGTGATATCCGGCTATCGACCAAAGAACGTGTGCACTGCTCAGCAGTCCTCCTTTGTGGATGGCTGGCTGTGAGACCTGGCCATTGAAAGTGGAAGACATGAAAAGACTGACTAGCTAGCTGTCTTTGATCATAGGTGCCAGTGTTCTATCTCCCGTGTCAGGTGGTGGTGTAAAAGGGCCGAGCGATTCTGGGGACATCACTCGTACCAAATTCCCATGAAACCTCATGAACTCTCTTGCATCAGATCGCCGCGCCTGGGCAGCGATGATTCGAGATGTTCATGAAGCCGGCTCATCCTCCCGTAGGAGATAGCCGAAGTAAAGTAAAGTAAGTAAGTAAAAGGGTGAGGAATATTGAGGTTAGACTTCGGTCAAGTGCTAAGTGGGGAAGAGAAATCAATAGACAAGACTGTGAAGCTACATCGATTGAGAGAGATGGTTAGGGCACGTGTTACGCATGCAAGACTAGCCATCGCCTTCCTCGACAATGGGCAATGTTAGCTGACATAGGGTGGATGCATCAGGTTGGAAAAGAGCTAGCCAGTGCTGGTGATCTCAGTGATGGCTGGCTGGCGCAGATGCATCCACTCATTGTGACTTATAATATCCAATAAAAATATTGTTCTTCCATATTACTATTCCTTTTGCTTCCGAATTCTGTTTGTTATCTCTCTGTTTTGCATTTCTTTTACTACTCTTGCTTTGTGTGCTAAGTGAAGTGTGGCGACTCGAACTGCTGCACATCGGTGCAAAGTTCTATGTTGAAACCAATCAGTCGAATTGCTAGCAACCTTTCCATTCAGTCAGTGTCACTTGGATTACTAGAATATGGTGTAACAGAATCATAAAGTAGCGTATGATAGAGTTACAGGTCTTAAGTGCAATTTAGTTTTGTAGTGACAGAGCCCAGTCACTGAATCTTATTCATTTTATCAAAATGCTATACACACATGCATATTGGATATTGCAACACCAGTATATCTGAAATATGATAAAAGCATTATTGCCAAAAGAGCAATAAGTTGAGGACAAGAAAACGAAATACGTGTGTCCAGTACTCTCTACTGGTTTTCATGGTTCTCTAACTGAGTTATCAATCCGTGGTCAAAATCTTGAAAAAAACAAATCAAAACCCTACAGACAATAATTGCACCATATAAAAATTCTGAAAGTTATGTGAGTACACTGACATGAGAAATGAACAACAGTCTGTGTTGGAAAAGCTATCACTAAATAAAATACTCTGTCGGATACTATGAGTGGGCAAAGTTCAACAATAGCGTTCGCATCCCTTGGAACGCTCTTGTTGAACTTTGCCCTATCAGTAGATTTTGCAGTGTGGTCACTATGCTAGCTGGTTCGCCATCGCGATGCACTGAAAATTGCTGTTATTAGATAGTCGTGGAGGCAATGGGAAGGAAGCATCCATCGCCTGACCTAGTTTTCGAGTTGTTTGCCGCTCAATCGTATCTACAATTTTGAAAGAACAACTCTGAGATTTGAACTGGTATCAACAAGCACAAAACTTAAGTACAAGGCTTCCGTCCTATTCTGAGTGCATCGCGATGGCGAACCAGCTGGCATAGCAGTCCTACTGCATGATTTACTGATAGAATTCAGTCTGCATCAAACCGCCAAGGACTAAACGACGCATGGCACTATAGTTACTTACAACCTAGTGTTGATTCAAGGCATCTAATACACTCGTATGTGGGGTGAAACCCAAGCTCAGTAGTGGTAACTTCTTTTACTGCAGCACTGGGTGATGAGGATTCAAATCTCAGCTGGGACTTGAGTTCCTTCACGTTTGTAGATACACCCTTCAGAATGGTGGTAAGTGCCAACAAGCACGAAAGCTATGCAGATTGGCATCCTTCAACTATCTGAAATACTGTGTGAATTAAAGATACTATTATGCAAAATGAAATCTGTAAAATTTAGGTGATAATCGATATGTATGTTACTTAGTTTATGGTGGTGAATGGTCGTAGATATGGGATGTCAGTCTCGCTTAATACGGGACACCCCAACGCAATAAAGTGGAAGCAATTCCATTGTGGGTGAAATTTATTTTGTTAAAATCACAGAGTGTTATACATTAATATTTACCGACGACAACGTTTCGAGCACAACTTTCTAAGGTCGTTCATATAATTCCATTATTTTTCATCGCTTGACTTGATTGGTAGTACTAGGAGTAGTAGTAGTATTTTCCATATTTCCTGTATGAGTGATGAGTCATTCCTATTGTACGTATTGTGTTGGGTGTAGATTATTGGATGAACAAGGATTCAGTAATCAACCTCAGTTATGCCTCACATCTACTGCCTTTAAATTCCAGGGCAAAATATTAGACAAACAGAAGGTGTGTAACAATGAGATGGATCACCAATATCCCCTATCGTAGCAGATATCTTCATGGATGGATAGCTGGGAAAATATTGCTCTTAATACATTCACCTAATCCTGCTCTAAAAATATGGGGGAGATATGTGGATGACAGTTTCACACACACACACACAGTGTTAAAAACAGAACATATCTCTGTCTAGCTTCTTTGCACGCGCGCGCACACACACACGCAAACTTACTAGTAAAGGGAATAAAATTCACGTTCAAGTCGGAAAATGAACAAGGAGAATTAGCTATGATGTTAGATTGTAAAATAAAATGAAGAGAAGAAGGTAAACTGCACACTAGCGTTTATAAAAAGCCAACACATTCTGCTGATAGATATTCAGACTTTAATTCATCTCATCCGTCCGTTATCTGTCTGTGAAGGCAGACTTAGTTAAGTGTCTAACAAACCGAGCAGTAGCACTAAATGGTGCAAGAAAAGGGCTAAATGATGAAATAAAAAAGACAGAAGAAGCGTTGGTGTTAAATAACTAACTATCCTATAAAATTCATTAGGAAGATCAGAAAAGGTTAAAAGCAAAATAAAAATGGTGGTAAAACTAATAATGATAAAATGGATAAGAAAGAATACAAGGCATCTATACTTTTACCATATAAGGAGGGGACAGCTGAGACCCTACGTAGGATTCTTAAAAAGCAGGAATTGGAGTCGTGGCATTCAAACCCAGTTGACCAAATTAGACAAAATAATATAATTTACAAAATACCTTGCAATGACTGTGAGTTAGGTCAACTACATAGGTGAAACTAGTAGAACAGGAGTAGCGAGATTATCGGAACACATAAGAATTTAGCTAAAGTAGGAATGGTTGACCCCGTGAAGATAAATAATTTGGAAAAAGTGACTCACTACCACATTGCACTGCATGCATTAACACACACACACAATAGGGTGAGACAGGGTCAAGATTTTAAGAAATAATACAGTTAGGTAGGTAGAGAGATTGATTACTGAATCCTAGGACACTGAGTCTACACACCCAACACAACACATGCCCTAGGAATGACTTATCATCACTGATACATGAATTATGGAAAATACTACAACCAATCAAGTCAAGCGACGAAAAAGTTATGTGAGTATAGCCTTGATATGATTATGAGTAGTAGCAATGATAAATTGTGCTCGAAGCGTGTGGTTATCAGTTAATATTACTGTATAACAAAAAACACTGTGTGTGTGACACTTTATCTAACTAAAATTTCATCCATAGTGGAGTTGTACTTTATCACCACAGTGCCCAAGTTTTATCTTTACATGTGTAATTTAGTTTTAAGATAAATATACAATCAGTTTCACATACATGTATTCTAAGAGTACTCAATATGGACAGATTTATATATATATATATATATATATATATATATATATATAAATCTGTTTTGATCTTTTGAATAAACAAGTAATTTGTCTTACCCAGAGCTAAGCAGATTCAACTGACTGAACACATCTTGGTTTAGAAAAGTAACAGTAGATTGAGTGAAGAAATCCTGCATTCCTTTACTTCAATGAGTAGTTC